ATTACCAACCTATTTTCTAGTTATTGTTTAACTTCCCCATCACCTTAGTTACAACTGGCTTCCCTGGGATAATAACCTCAGCACACTGCTCCCAGAATGAGCAAGGATCTTCAGACACGCCACACATACAATAGTAAGAGGAAGATTAGATGAATAGATTTTACATGACCACTGAGGGGCTGAAATACTCAGGTACCATTAAAGAAACCTGGATAGCCATATTCTTTAGGGAGCTCTGAAGATCTTGACTGTAAGATGTAACAGCTGATGCTGTTTGGCTTGATTTCATGACCATCCTTCCAGCTATACAAGTGTCTCATCCCTCTGAACCGTTCTGTGCTACACAGAAGCCTTTGCTAGTCACTAATGTAAGCTGTCCCCATCTCTCCTAGAGAGGTCTGAGTGAGAAGCCTTGGTAACATGCTTGGCCCCTACAGGAATGTCAAGGAGGCATTAGGAAAAGGTATGGAACTGATCTCCCACGGGTCAGGACAGGAAACAGATGGGACTGACACAGATGAAACAGCTTGGACTGAACGTCGGGTGAATTTATCAAATGCGTTATCTCATGTATTTGAATATGTCCCCTTCATGTTAGACTACCTCTACACACTGTCATGTGGATAAATATATCAGATGCCAGAGCATGATGAAGCTTCCTAACCACCCTCTAATATACTTACAATCCAGAAAGGGTATAGATGCTTACCAAGCTTATGCTGGAAACAAACTTTAGCCAGGAGGATCAAGATGAAGGGAAGTCCTTTCTGCAGCCAACCAATCACAGCTTTTAACTCTGAAAGAGCTGGGGCTGGAGTCCCAGCCTGTTCATCACTGCCTTCCTCAGCATGCCCATGGCGGTCCCCTCCTGCCATGTGCAGTAGAGATGAACCCCGGTGATGGCCGTGGTGGAAATGATGGGACGATTGCCGGTGGTGAAATGGGGCTCCTTCTGTACGACTGGTCCCTTCCTCCCTTGGGGCTGGCATCTGAATGAATACTTCCCCACCTCCTGCTGAAGAGCCCAGAACCAAACCTGACTGGAACGGTGTGGCTGTGATGGTGCCCGATGGGATACCTGCCAGGCCTGAGAACAGCTGTTGTGGTGAGGAAGCTTCAGCCTTCAGACTTTCAAAAACTCCACTTTCATCCACGCTCGTTTCAGAACTGACTGTTTGGCTCCGGTTTCTGCAGTGGATGGAGATTAGAGAAAAATTATTAAACAAAAATGAGTGCCACAGAACTTCTCAGTCTTTTAGCCCAATCCTGACTGTAGTCGTTTAAGAGTTCCTCACACACTATCAGAATGCATAGGTCTCCAGATGACAGATGCTTTTCTCTCTATGTGCTGTTGGAAAGTCACAGTCATAGAACTAGAGGCCAGGAACCAGACTCCTAAGATAAAACCAGAGTACTTCTAAAGGACTGATCAAAATACACCAGTTCCTTCATCTAAGGAACAGAGTTCCCAAACACTCCCTTTATTTATGAAAGAACCAAAGAAATAACACATCTGATACCAAATTCATAATCTTCTGTAATGATTTCAATATTGAAAGAAAAACATGGTAACCCCCTGTAACTTTACATAGCACAACCAAGGCAGGTCATGCTATATACAAATTAATCAAGCAAACTCACAGAAATGACCTACCCTCAAAATATTCTGTCTTTATTTAAGGATGATCACTACTTGTCCACAAACAAGAGAGAGGGTCAACTGGGGAGAAGAAGCGTTGAGAGCTGCTTGTGTGTCTCTGACACACACATATTTTAAGTGAAGGATGTGCTTATGGATCAAGAGAAATTGTTTTATTTTAATCTTCTTGGCAAATTGGACATGGATGTACCCAAATTACTGAGCACTGGACAGAATTAGATTTGGCCCTGGTTATTTCCTGAGCTTGTTGGGTTATAGCCAGATTCCAGAAAGAAATTCTTAAATATCTTCATCCCAATACCAAAAGAAAATAGACTTTCTTCACCTGAACTCAGTACTGTGGTACTGAAATGAATACACGGAAAGTTTAGATGACAGGGAACAATACAGGTAACAAGTAGAACAATCATTAGGCTGTAAATGCCTGGCAGACTGCAAATACCTGTCTAACTTGCAAAAGGAGAGTAAAGAAGAAATAAAGCTCAGCAAGAGGCAAAGCCCACAAATAAGCCATGTTGCAGAACTTCGGTCTCTCTTGATTTTAATCTCTGGAGATCTCTAACTTTAGAAATAGTGGTCACAAGCTGAGACAGCACATGCAGGCACATACAGGGCCCTTCACCCTCTCTCTCCCATAGGATCAAAAGCCTCCCCAGGCATCTTACAGGGCACAGAGCACTGCCTTTCATTTTGCTCTGGAGATAGCTTGGAATCTCTCTGGGCATACCTTCCCACTAAGTAAACTCTTAATAAGGCTTTTTATAGCTACACCCCATTCCCAATGTCTCTCCTCAGGCTCCAGCAAGGAATCAAGTCAACAAGATATTGCACACCTGTTTTTGGTTCAAAATATTCATCAACCAGATCTTGGATTTTACACCTAACATTACAATTCAGGGATATATAACACAAGACAGGGACATAATGGGACAGTGCTTACATTTGGGAACATAAAAAACAAATTGGGTGGAACCCAGTGTTACAGATAAAGACACAAGTATTATTTGGAACAATACTACCAGATTACATGATCATGCTTTCAGCAGG